GAAACGTCAGCCTTTCTGCTCCTACGATGCTGCTTGGCCTGCTGTGTTCATCCAGCTCTGCACCTTGTTGTCTCGGATTCTCCAGCAGCTGCAGTTCCTACTATCTCAGTGATTTATCTGTTTGCCTACATTAGTGACACTCACCTTGGCAGCATCAGAAATTGTGTCCCAGTTTCCTCCGCTGAGGGCATATTTCCCACTTCCAATGCGTGCCAAGATTTCTTCAGGAGTATCTTCAGGCCCATTGGCAAATGGTGTGAATCTAACAGGGATGGACAAATTTCATTCCAACCTTTGGATTTCATTCATGTTTTTATTTTATGTTTACTGCTTAAAAAACTCAAAAACATTGCCTGGCAATGTTTATTGTCAATTCCACATTTTGAAAGTTACACTTGATTTGATATGGCTATGTTATAAACAGATGTTATCACAGCTTCTATGTCATTGATAGGGGTCTGATATGCTACTGTCTTTACTGAGTCAAGCATCATAGCAATGTACTCACAATTTTCTAAGAAGCATCATACTCCCCAAAACATGCAAAGTCTAACAGATACAATTGAGAAGGGATGAGGCTAGAAAATTAGCATGGAGTCTCTGTAGAAGGATGGGGAGTTGAAAGGGGTACAACGTCTGTGAAAGGATGGGATTTTGATGGGGTAGAGTGTCTGGGGAGTTGAATGGTTTTTCAGCGCCCTCAAGTACAAATGAGCTAGGTTTCTGGAAGCCATTGAGTGAAATGGGGGGTTCCTTGGGGCAAGGGAAGCCTAAGGCTTCCTTTTGCCATGAGGCGAGCTTCTTCTTGCCCACAGGAAACCTAAGTTCATTTATTTAAATTTACCTGCTGGGCATTTTCAAACTAAGATCCAGCTCCCAGAAACTCTAACCTGATGAGGAAACTGTCATTGCTAACTCATGCAGGCCTTTGTAGAATGTTGTAGATTGGGTGTTGAAGCCCTCATTGGATCCAAACCACAGATTTGAAGAGAAGCACACAAACTTCTTACTGGATCCTACCAATCTCCTTGAAAGAACAATTTAAAATTGGAGCAGAGAAGAAAAGCAGCAGAGTTTGAGGAGAAAGTGACGGGACTCATTTTACCTGATCCCTTTCTTGGTTTCTCCGAAGCAGGAGGTTAAATTTAAAACCAACCCATTGTGACATAAATCACACAGAAAACCAAATTTTTCTGGAAACATGAATCAATTTTCAGGTGCTTTCAATCAGGAGCATTCTTAATCCCTGCATACAAAGAAAACATAGAGACCTGTGGCACTTTGCGTCTTTTTCCTTTTTGTGCTGCATGTTCACTTGCAAGGTTTTTGCCTAGACCAGACAGGGTTACAAGTTGTGATGGTTATCAGTATGCCTTCTACTGTCATTTCACTATGTCACCTCTATCCTCCCCATTTGTCATTTTCAAATCTCAAATTTTTGGAAATTAATGATTCACAATTGTCTGATTTCTCTGCTGAACTATTTCTCCCTCCTCCCTTCTCCATAAGACATCAATTCATGCAGAGATATTGTTCAAATCCCCAAATAAATGTCTTGCTGAACCATGAGACTCTCATTTTGTGGTACCATCTCAGAGTGATGATGAACTCCCTGCTCCAAATCTAAGCAGTAAACTATATAAAAAGCCTGGCATGCTGTTACACTTCTCTCCTGATGAGCTACCTCTCATTTCAACACTAAGATTAGGCTTCCAACAGGCCTGTTTAAGATATAAAGAGTTTTAAAATATTGGAAGCAATATGCAGTTTAAGACACCTCAACTGATTCAAAAATTTGTGTCAGCAATGGAATTATTAGAATGCTTTTCAACGCTCATTTGTCCATTAAATAGTCTAACAGAGATCTAATTTAAATATTATTTTTATCGAAATAGCAGTCATGAAGGTAGGTTAAGGGGCTCATAGAAATTGAGAGGACACAATGAGTGGAGAGGAAGAAAAAGCATTGAGCAGCTCAGGGAATGTGAAGCATCAGTAGGATGGGATAGAGGGAGTATTGAACAAGATTGGGTTGGGGTAATGGTGGCTTGACTAAGCTGCAAGTATTCATAGAAAATGAGGTAGAAATGCCAGGTATAATATGCAAAATCTGGCACTAATGATGAGAAATGGCACAAACACAAAGAATTCTGTTACGTACATGAGGTGTAAACCGTTAACGTCAGTAGTACAATCATTCACTGCACCTCACTTAGAAAGCTGAAAATCCAGTGAAGAACATTTGGAAGATTTTCAAGGCAACTTCAGTAATTTCCAAAAATATCCTCACATGTCACAAGCTTAAAAGGGAATCATCCTATTATAATGTAATGTTTGAATATTTTCGTCTTTTCATAACACTAAATGTAATTTGAGTTGCAAAATATCAGGATTCCAGTGCAGTATTAGAAGGTACATGTCTCTTCAGCAGCTCCAACAGATAAAAGCTTGCCACCAAATTAAAGAGTCAGTTGTACATCCACTAATTGTCGCCATAAGTACCTCCAACATTTGTTTGGAAGGCACATGTGACAATTAAAGGGAAATGTCATCATCATGTACTTACAGCCCTTCGCTTAATGATTCTCAGGGCACTGCAAGGAGCTGACAGGATGAGGTTCCAGTGCTGTCTGGTGCATACATGTCTCAACTGCAGTTAAGAGGAGCAAATAAAGACTTATAGCACAAAGGAGGCCACTCAGCCCATCATGTTCTAGACAGCCAAAATGAGCCTTTAACATTGGCCTACACAGATCTTTTTTCCAGACTCCATCTAAATCTAATGGAATTGTTATCATAGCCACTGAAACACTCTCCTCCTGATATCAATTCCAACTCTCCAGATTTGTTCCCTAAAACCAAGTCCAGAGTTCTTTCGCTTGGTTGAACTTGCTATGTTGCGGCTAAAAAGATTTTCTTGAATGGATTTTAAGATTTCTGCACTTTTTCACACTGAAATTACCCCAGTTAATATTAGGAGAGTTGAAACCCTTTATCAACCCTTATGTTTCTGCCATTTTCAGGCGGTTGGGAACATAAGAATAGGAGTAGCCCATTCGCCTCTCAAGCCTCTTCCATCATTCACTGAGATTGTGGCTGATCTGTGATTGAATTCCATTTACCTGACTTTGGCCCATATCCCTTAATACCTTTGCTTAACAAAATTTATCTTTCTCGGATTAGAAATTAACAACTAATCCAGCAGCCACTACTGTTTGTAGAAGACAGTTCCAAATGTCTACCACCCTTTGTGTGTAGACATGCTTCTTAGCATCTCTCTTGAACAGTCTGGCCCGAAATCCCAGACATCGTCCCAAGTTCTAGAATCCCCAACCAGTGAAAACAGTTTATCTTTATCGATCCTGTCTATTCCTATTAATATGTTGAAGACTTTGTTCAAATCACCCTTTAACCTTTTAAATTCTGGAGAAAACAGACCATTTTGTGTAATCTTTCCTCAACTTAACCCCTGAAATCCATGTATCATTCTTGTAAATTTACGCTGTACTCCCTCCAAAGCCAATATATTTTTCTTAAGGTGTAGTGCTCAGATCTGCTCACATTACTCCAAATAAGGTCTAACCAGGGGGCTTTGTATAATTTCAGCATATTGTCTGCATCCTTGTACTCCAATCCTCTAGCTATAAAGGCCAGCATTCCATTAGCTTCCTTGATTATTTTCTGCACCTGTTCATGATATTTTAAAGATCTATGCACCTGAACCCCCAAGTCTTTTTTGGACATCCACTGCATTTAATTTCATACTGTCTAGAAAGGACCCTGATTTATCCTTTTTTGGTCCAAAATGAATAACCTCACATTTGCTTACATTGAGTTCCACCTGCCACAGTTTTGCCCATTTACTTAGGCTATCAATATCCCTTTGTAATTTTATGCCGTCATGTACACTATCTATCTTCACATTTTGGTTATCTTCAAATTTATTCTTCTATCTCCTTGACTGTTTGCATGTCTATAATTTACATCCAGCAAGAGGAGTGTCCCAATCTTGTTCCTCAGTTTAACTGACATGGCCATATGGCAAGGTGCTAAGATTTCAACTCCATCATAGCAGAACAATACACTTTGGGGTAATGAGGGACAGAAAAATAAATTCATGTTACTTGTTTCACTTCGTGGTGGCCGATCACATATTCTGTTGATGAAAACACTCACTGCCTTACCCTGCCAGCATGGTGTAAAGTAGAATCCCCAAACTCCACATGTCACAGGCTGCATCATATCCTTGCCTCTTGAGCACCTATAGCAGAAATGTTAAGAAACTATTACTCAGCTTAAGGCAATACAATGGCTCAGTAATGAAATTTGTTTTTCAATTACGTTGGTCAAATTGTTGGGAAGGCAATGATAAGGGCAGCATGGTGGCTCAGTGGTTAGCACTGCTGCTTCACAGTGCCAGAGACTTGGGTTTGGATTCCAGCCTTGGGAAACTGTGTGGTGTTTGCATGTTCTCCCTGTATCTGTGTGGGTTTTTGCCAGTTTCGTTTCCTCTCACAAGATGTGCAAGTTAAGAGGATTAGCCAAGCTAAATTGTCTCTGGTGACTAGGAATGTGATGGCTTGGTGGATTAGCCATGGTAAAATGTGGGGATAGGGTAGAAGAAGGGTCTAGGCCTGAAATGTCAGCCTTCCTGCTCCTCTGATGCTAGTTGGCCTGCTGTGTTCATCCAGCTCTACAACTTGTTATCTGGGATAGGGTAGGGGGCTGGGTTTAGGTGGGATGCTCTTTGGAGGGTCAGTGCAGACTCAGTGGGCCAAATAGCCTCTTTCCTGTACTGTAGGGAATCAATGAATTATCATCAGAAGGCATTAAAGAAATTTTCCCTTTCCTCAACCCCTGCTCACATAACAGGTAGGAGATGGCTGGGTGGAGGAGAGGGAGAATTGAACTATCAAATGTTTGTAATGCCAATCCCAGTTGCTAAGGATGTGTCACCTTACACAATTTAACTGTGACAGGTTTTGGTATGTCAGATAACCCACTCTGGAGGGGAATGTATGTGATAAAAAGGCCCAAATCTTCCGGTCAGCATCAAGAACTCTTTCCAACACTAACCAAATGAAACCTAACCTACTTAACCCTTTCCAATTTCTTTCTAATCTTCTGATGGAAGATCCTACAGGATCAGTCAGTTGGGAATCCAGAGAAACACCAGCAAAGAGATTAGAGAAGAAGCCACCTTCAAAAGCTGGTGTATTTTGTTAAATTACAGTTTAAATGTCCCAGAACCCCTCAGTCTGTCAGTGGGAGTGTATGAGTGAATTGTTTAAGCGGGTGGGGTGTTTGGGGTACCTGATGAGTGAGTTGGAAAATGGAAAAGTCTGGAGCTGGATTAGAACTGGGCAGAGTTGAGAGCTGGACAGGAGGCAAAGTTGGGAGTTGAATTGTACTGGTTGGAACCCAAGAGCTGGACTGGGTTGGGCAGAGTTGAGAGCTGGATCAGAAAGAGATAATGTTAGAAGTCAGGTTGGAATGATAATGGAATTGAGAACCAGATTGGAAATGAGGTGGATTTGGGACATGCATCAAACACACACAGAGTTGGGAGCTGAATGAGAATCATATGGAGTCAGGAAACAGACTGGAGCAGACTGGAAGAGTCATAGAGATAGGAGAGCCAGTATTTATGGCATTTGTTGCTGCATGTAAATTTACGATGATGTTCTGTACTCCAGGTGCCAGGGTCAAGGTGTCGCTGAGTGGCTAGCGAGACGGGAAGATGATCAGCCAATGGCCATTGTTGATATCAATAGAAAGAGCTACATAGTATTACAGTCAGAATTTAGGGAACTAGGTAGGAAATTACCACATGCGAGTGAGTATAAAGGAGGATAAAGAAAATGAATGCTGGATGGACAGATGGTTGAAGATGAAGGGCTTTGGGATCATTTGGAACATTGGAATTAGTTCCAGTAGATATTGGATCTACAGAGACTATATTAGTTGCACCTAAACAGAATTTCCTTGCAAAGTAATTTGCTACTGATACTGAAGAGACATCTAACTAACTAACCAGGTGGAATATTAAAGGGGAACACCAAAGTCCACAGATACTCGGAAAGATACATAGTTCTGGATAACAAAATAATAATCTATCTGGTGGTTTCAGCATAATGCAAAATGTAATAAAGTCTTAATTAGAGTGACAGTGTGTTGTGATGATACTATGGCTTTAAGAGGTGCATTTTGTCCTGGATTTTTCTGAAAGTGAAGTTGAGATAGAGGTGCATAGTGGTCTGTTCCAAACCAACAAAGTAAACAGCTGGAGAGGTCTTGGATTTTTTTTTAATTTTGGAACAATAGAAAAAGCATCAATGAGTGGGATCAGGCTTCCACAGAACCAGGGTTTTTAGTTTAGCTTTCAGTAGTTGTTGGGGTTTTGAAGCTTCCATATATCTCTCTCTGCTACAGCAAAATCCATGAGTACTCTCTCTCTGCCAGAATTTTCTTTTGATGGTCTTTCCTCCTAGACTGGAGAAACATTGCATGCAAGACTATCTATTTCAGTAAATTTGCCTTTGCCAAGGGTGTGTTATTATATTGGAATAATTATTGTTTACTAGTTAAATAATCTATAATTATGTTAAGTTTCTAATAGAGTTAAAGTTACTCAGAGATGTATGAGCCAGCTGCATAGGCAGGTACTGAGAAAGGAGATGTGGCTGTAGCAGAGACAGTAAGAACTGCCAATGCTGGAGTCAGAGATAACAGTGTGGAACTGGAGGAACAGAGCAGGCCAGACAGCATCTGAGGAGCAAGAAAGCTGACATTTCAGGTCAGGACCCTTCTTCAGAAATGGCAGAGGGGGAAGGGAGCTCTGAAATCAATACAGAGAGGAGGGGTGGGGCTGGGAAGGTAGGTAGGATGGTGATAGGTGAGTAGGCAGTGGTGGGGATTTGTCAGTGAGGTGGGAGGAGTGGATAGGTGGGAGAGAAGATGGACAGGTCAAGGAGGCGGGGATGAGAGGGAGGGTTGGTCATGGGATGAGGCCGGGGTGGGGAGATTTTGAAACCAGTAAAGTTCATGTTGAGACTATTGGGTTGTAGGCTCCCAAGGTGAAATATGAGGTGCTGCTCCTCCAGTTTTTGGGTGGTGTCCTTGTGATACTGGAGGAGTAATGGGTTTGTGTATGAGCTGACTGTGTAGGCAGGTTGGACCAATTCTTCTTTCATTCATTCATTCATTTGTATTTTAACTGTAGAATAAGAATGAAAAGCATTTTGCTTAAAGCCGAGTAGTGTAACCAACAAAACAGTGCCTTACACTTGCTTTTAAGTAAGAAGAAAATAGTGTCTAGGGTATCTCCTTGATATATTTGAAGGCGGTTTGGTCTGGTCCATAACAGTTTGCATGTGAAATTGTCGAGTGTCGTAAATAAGATAGTGAAGTTACAGGCACAGAGAGACAAGTGTAGATATGATGCAGTGGCTATAAGGGAATCCTAGCTCAAAGAAGGGTAAAGCTGCTTGTTAAATATTACTGGATATAAGGAATTTAGAAAGTTAGGAAAGTAAGGAAAGAAAGACGGGTGGCAATATTGATAAAGAAAAATATTTCAGTGGTGTAGATTTCGGATATCCCACAGGTCCAGGACAAAATCGAATTTGGCATGTTGTAAGGAACAAAAAGTGTTCGTTGCACTGTATAGTCTAAAGGGCACCAAATAATGGGAAAAGTGTAGAGGTCAAATTTGTAAGGAAATTACATAAAGGTAGAAAAATTATGAAGCACTTATAATGGAGTACTCTAATAGTCCATTAAACATGGCAGAATGTCTGCACTCTCAGTATTTCTGGGAGGCCTGTACAATGTCTTTTGACTTCTGACTAGGATGGCATAGTGGTATTAGTGGTTAGCACTGCTGCCTCACAGTGCTAGGCCCAGGTTTGATTCCAGCCTCGGGCGACTGTCTATGTGGAGTTTGAACGTTTTCCTGTGTCTGCGTCAGTTTCCTCTGGGTGTTCTGGTTTCCTCCCACAGTCCAAAGATGTGCATGTTAGGTGCATTGGCTGTGCTAAATTGCCCATAGTGTCCAGGGATATGCAGGTTATGCAGATTAACCATGGGAAATGCAGGGTTACAGGAATGGGGTAGGGGGCTGGGTCTGTGTGGGGTGCTCTTCGAATGGTTGGTGTAGGTTTGATGGGCCAAATGGCCAACTTCCACACTAAAGGGATTGGATGACTACCATTTCTTTAGAAGCCCTATTGTATCATGCATCATATTTCTCTTGAAATCTCTTAAGAGATGATTAGTAATGCAGAGGACATATGTCTGTAAATGAATGAATTTTAAACAGAATAAGATGGCGCTCCTCGATGACACAGTTGGCAATTGCACAGTGTGGTACTCAACTTGGTCACATAGAAATTGCCCAGTCACCCTGTGCTCGTGTTACATTTCTGAGACAACAGAACATATTATTTATGAAAGCAGTTGGTGAACCTTGCTACAAATTTCAAGTAGCTTTTAGATGATCTCCTCTGGTATAGCATCAGAATTCCTTCCTGAAAACAAACACTTGATGATAAAGTTTACTCCACTATTCAACCATATGTTTGTAAAACCTTGAGATTGTGTAACAATGAGACAACTTTCATACGAACAGAACATGTTGATTCCTCTTTTGCAATCTTTTGAAAGGCAGATCAATAACATTAACAATTAAATATTTGATACAAATTGTTAAGCTGTTTATGTTTCAGTTAAATAAATAAGAAAATATGCTTCACTAAACACGTAAGTGTGCTGAACTCTATGTATTTTGCTGGGAAGATCTTTTTTTCTCTGAAACCTTGGTTATTGTGAATGCTCTTTGGAAGCAGTAAAATGAGATGAAGCATTCCTTGTTGTTAGAGATCTTTGTGAATTCCCATTTCAGTGACTTTATTCTTTATTGCAAAATATACTTTATTCATAAATTATCTATAAGTACAATAGGTCCAAAACAGTTCAGTCCAGACTTTACAGAAAATAGAGAGGAATTTTGACATTCCTCATTGGACCTTCAATCTTGTTGCAACAAAAAGGCATTTTCTAAACATGAAAGGAAACTATTTACATTCCCATTAAGGTTATGAAGATATTTTGAGTAAACTTATCAATATACCTTATTGTGTGACTGAAACAACTGACTTTAAAGTTCACTTACCACACGTAAAAGAAAATGTTTGAAAAATCCCAAAATGCAATGCAGTAGAAATAGATTGGCATCTTTAGTGTTTAAAATATCTAAAAGGTAATTACTTTTGTTTTTCAATCATGCTATGGAATACCTATTTTGATATGCATGGAAATGTTGCAAACTAGATTCATTATCATGAGTACTTACCCAAACATACAAGGAGCTAACTCCCACAGAGTAATTAGTAATGTGTTCCAGAGGAAATAAAATGTGACAGTGTTGTTTGTGCAAAAAATACCTCGGTAGGATAAAAACATTATTACAGTTCTGATCAATGCACTTGAATACACCAATCTTTATATAAATAGGAGACATTTTCAAGAAAATGTTGGAAATATTAACACCTCTGGACAAAATGCCATTGGAAACAAGCATCAGTTTACAACATTGGTGAATTCTGTTAAGCTCTTCAGCAAAACACCATAAGGAATTGTAAAGCTCCCTACCTCAGGCGCGACAAAGTTGGCAGTATAACATGGAGTCATTAGAAGGCCATTCTCAGCTCGGAGTTGCTTAGCAAAACCAAAGTCACAAATTCGAATGGATTCTGGATTTCCTGATTCATCCACATACAAAATGTTACTTGGCTTCAGATCTCGATGAACAACCTACAGGAATGAGAATGCAGCACTGAATCATCTACTATAAATCACAAGTGATCAAGCTGCAGCCCTGTGATTTCCTGATGTCAGTGAGTGTTTTCTTTGCTGGGAGTGCTGACTTCTACAATGATGTTTAATGTTGGGTATTCTAGCGCAGAGTCTGCAGCCAGTAACTTACACCTTCACTGTCTGGGCAATGATCTAGCAGCATAGATTGTCTGCCTCATATGGAAACAGCCCAGGCAGTGAAAGTGACAATCGCTCTCTACATGCTATCAAGTTCTTTCTAGAGAAGTGGAGTTATTGCTGTTCGTTTAAAATTGCGCACAGGAGAATTTTTGTCAATGCATTAACCAAAAAATAGCACACAGAAGAATTTCAATTGTAAAGGAAATCCTACTCAAACACTTATTCCGGTACTTGTCAGGATAAAGGATGTCAATTCCAGAGAGTAAATACTTTTCATTTTTAGTACCAAGTATCAGCATCAAATAGGCTCAGGTCAAGTAGAGTATGAGCAAGATAACAGAATGAGTGAGACATAGAATGTTTTCTTGCCTGGCTTACTCCCCAGACTAACACTGAAGTAACACTGATATAGCAAAGTGAAATTTTCGGTGTTCACCATAGCACATTCCTGACTACTTCCAGCTGGACCTGCGTTGAAATTGCCTATATTCATTCCACAGAGGAGTTTTGCAGTCATCAAGAAAGCACAGAATGAATGGAAATGTGCTTAACACTTTCTAAACTAAGCTAAGCTAAGGGAAAAAAAAAACTTGCATTTATATAACATCTTTCATAACTTTAGGACACCAAAAATCACTTTATAGTGAATGTATTCACTGTTGTAACTGAGGAAAGTCAGCAGTGAATTTTACACTCAGCAAACTCTCACAAAAAAACTTTAGGGTATTGACCAGACAGGGCAGATGGGACTTAAATGACCCAGCTAAAAGCTGGTACTTTTGACATAATGGCGCTCCATTGTAATGAAGTGCCAGTTAAGGTTTTGTGTTCAAGTCTCTGGAGTGAATCTTAACTTCATAGCCTGTGGCTCACAGGCAAGTGTGTTGACACTAAGCTACAGGAGAGAGCGTAAACCCGTAACATCTGTTTGCTTGAAATATGCTGCACATTGAAAAGAACTTTAATGACCGTGGGGTTTTTAGCAGGACACCATTGGTTTCAGTTAATTTCTCAAATGCTTGCAGCAGGATGGCAGCAAGGGAATTTTAATCACCAAAATCTCATTAGCATTCTGAGCAGGAAGCCTGAAGAAAACACATATAGTACCTGGAGTCCTACTGGCTCTAGGGTAAGGGATTAGAAGTGGCTCCAGGGAGTGTCTAGTATAAAGAGATGGTGCACGAAAGCCAGGAGGAATCTGGGCAAGAAGCACTTTAAACAATCCACAATCCTATCTTCAAAAAGAGAGCAAGATCATGTTCATGGGCCTCGGCAGTTTCCTTGTTCCCTTCATGTTAGCCTACACCTGACAAGAAAATAGGACGGCCTCAGGGTGAAGTTAACATCCCCATTAGGGCTTTGTTACTTAATTGGAGTTAAATTCAATTATATGGATTAAGATTCTGTTGGTTATTGTTATAGTCATAGACTTATACAGCATGGAAACAGACCCTTTGGTCCAACTTGTCCATGCCAACCAGATATCCTTAATAAATCTAGTCCCATTTGCCAGCGTTTGGCCCATATCCCTTTAAACCCTTACTATTCATGTACCCATCCAAATGCCTTTTAAATGTTGTAATTGTACCAGCCTCCACCACTTCCTCTGGCAGCTCATTCCATACACGCACAATCCTCTGCGTGAAAAAATTACCCCTTAGTTCCTTTTTAAATCTTTCCCTTCTCACCTTAAAACTATGCCTTCCAGTTTTGGACTCCACTACCCTGGGGAAAACACTTTGGCTATTCATCTTATATGCCCTCCGTGGTTTTATAAACCTTTATATGGTCACCCCTCAGCCTCCGACGCTCCAGGGAAAATAGCCCCAGCCTATTCAGCCTCTCCCTATAGCTCAAACCCTACAACCTTAGCAACATTCTTGTAAAGCTTTTCTGAACTCTTCCAAGTTTCACAACATCCTTCCTATTAGCAGGGAGACCAGAATTGCGTGCAGAATTCCAAAAGTGGCCAAACCAATGTTCTGTACAGCCACAACATGACCTCCCAACTCCTATACTCAATGCTCTGATCAATAAAGGCAAGCATACCACAAGTCTTCTTCACAATCCTGTATACCTGGGACTCCACTTTCAAGGAACTATGAACCTGCTATCCAAGGTCTCTTTGTTCGGCAACACTCCCCAGGACCTTACCATTAAGTGGATAGGTCCTGCCCTGACTTGCCTTTCCAAAATGCAGCACCTCACATTTATCTAAATTAAACTCCATCTGCCACTTCTCAGCCCATCGGCCCATCTGATCAAGGTCCCACTGTACCCTGAGATAACCTTCTTGGCTGTTTATTACTCCACCAATTTTGGTGTCATCTGCAAACTTACTAACCATACCTCCTATGTTCACATCCAAATCATTTATAAAAATGACAAAAAGTAGTGGAGCCAGCACCAATCCTTGTGGCACACCGCTGGTCACAGGCCACAGTCTGAAAAGCAACCCTAGACCACCACTCTCTGTCTTCTACCTGCGAGGCATTTCTGTATCCAAATGGCTAGTTCTTCCTGTATTCCATGTGATCTGAGCTTGCTAACCAGTCTACTATGTGTAACCTTGTCGAATGCCTTACTGACATCCATATAGATCATGTCCACCACTCTACCATTATCAATCCTCTTCGTCACTTCTTCAAAAAACTCACTTAAGTTGATGAGATGCGATTTCCTATGCACAAAGCCACATTGACTATCCTTAATCAGTCCCTGTCTTTTGAAATACATGTAAATCCTGTCCCTCAGGATCCCTTCCAACAACCTGCCCACCACTGATGTCAGGCTCACCACTCAATAGTTCCCTGGCTTTTCCTTACCACCTTTCTTAAATAGTGGCACCACATTAGCAAACCTCCAGTCTTCCGGTACCTCACCTGTGACTATCGATGATACAAATACCTCAGCAAGGGCCCCAGCAATCTCTTCCCTCGCTTCCTACAAAGTTCTAGGGTACACCTGATCAAGTCCCAGGGATTTATCCACCTTTATGCATTTTAAGACGTCTGGCACCTCCTCGTCTGTAATATGGACAATTTTCAAGATTTTGCTATTTATTTCCCCAAGTTCTGTAGCTTCCATATCCTTCTCCACGATAAACACTAATGCAAAATACTCATTTAATATCTCCCCCATCTCCTGCAGTTCCACACATAGGCAGCCCTGCTAATCTCTACAGGGCCCTACTATCTCCCTAGTTACCCTTTTGTCCTTAATTGTATTTGTAGAATCCTTTTGGATTTGCCTTACCCTATCTGCCAAAGCTGTCTCATGTCCCCTTTTTGCCCTCTTGATTTCCCTGTTAAGTATACTTCTACTGCCTTTATACTCTTCTAGGGATTCACTTGATCCCTGCTGTCTATACCTGACATATACTTCCTTCTTTTTCTTGACCAGAACCTCAGTTTCTCTAGTCATCCAGCATTCCCTACAGCTACCAGCCTTGCCCTTCACCCTAACAGGAACATACTGTCTCTGGACTCTCGTTATCTCATTTTGAAGGCTTCCCACTTTCCAGCCATCCCTTTACCTGTGAATATCTGCAGCCCCTCCCCTCCACCACACACAATCAACTTTTGAAAGTTCTTGCCTAATACCATCAAAATTGGCCTTCCTCCAGTTTAGAACTTTAACTTTTAGACCCTGGTCTATCCTTTTCCATCACTATTTTGAAACTAAAAAAATTATGATCACTGGTCCCAAAGTGCTCCCCCACTGACACCTCAGCCACCTGCCCTGCCATATTGCCCAAGAGTAGGTACGTCCACATACTGAATCAGAAAATTTTCTTGTACACACTTAACAAATTCCTCTCCATCCAAGCCCTTAACACTATGGCAGTCCCAGTCTATGTTAAAATCCCCTACCATTACAACCCTATTATTCTTACAGATAACTGAGATCTCTTTACAAATTTGCTTCTCAATTTCACAGTGACTATTTAGGGATCTATAGTATAATCCGAATAAGGTGATCATCCCTTTCTTATTTCTCAGTTCCATCTAAATAACTTCCCTGGACTTGCTGCCTGGAATATCCTTCCTAAGTACAGCCGTAATGTTATCCCTAATCAAACATGCGCCCCTTGTCTCTTGCCCCTCCTTTCTATCCTTCCTATAGTATCACTACCCTGGAACATCAAGCTGCCAGTCCTGTCTATCCCTGAGCCACTTTCTGTAATTGCTATGATATCCCAGTCCCAGGTTCCCAACCATGCCCTGACTTCATCTGCCTTATCTGTTAGGCCTCTTGGATTGAAATAAGTACAGTTTAATTTATCAGTCCTACTTTGTTCACTGTTTTGTTCCTGTCTGCCTTGACTGTTTGACTTGCTCCCTTCTCGACTGCATCAGTCTAAGATTGATCACTTTTCTCACTCTCTCTCCCCAGGTTTCCTGCCACCACAGCAGCACCCCTCCCTAATAGTTTATATCCTCCCGAGCAGCTCTAGTGAATTTCCCCACCAGTATATTAGTCCCCTTCCAATTCAGGTCACTTATACTCCAGAAGAGATTCCAATGATTGAAAAATGTGAATCCTTCTCCTCTACACCAACTACTCAGCCATGCATTCATTTGTTCTATCCTCCTATTGCTAGTCTCACTAGCTTGTGTCATCGGGAGTAACCTAGATATTATGACCCTTGAGGACCTACTTTTTAAATTTCTGCCTAATTTCTTATATTCTCTCCTCAGAATCTCATCCTTTTCTCTTCCTAAGTCATTAGTTCTAATGTGTACAATGACTTCCCGCTGGTGTCTCTCCCCTTTGAGAATAATCTGCAATCTCTCCGAGGTATCCTTGATCCTGGC